TAGGTCAATGCTCAACCACTGAGTCATGCCAGCCAGACTCAGCTTAGATTCTTATAAAAATTTTATTTAATTTGTGTAGATAAATTAGGAGAGAATTGACATCTTAACAATACTAAGATCCCAAAACATGGGCTGTTATTCTATTTATTTAGATCTTCCTTAATTTCTTTCAACAATATGTTGCAGTTTTAGAAGTGTAAGCTTGCTCTTCTTTTGTTATATTTACTCCTAAATAAATTCCTTTTTATGTTATTGTGAATGGAATTTTAAATGCTCATTTTCAGGATGTTCATTGCAAGTATTAACCAACTTTTCATTCTTGGGATGAATCTCATTGATCATGGTGTATAATCCTTCTTATACATTGCTTGAGTTGATTTCTAGTATTTTTGTTGCGGGTTCCTGCATCCACATTCATGAGCGATATGGGATTGAAATGTTCTTTTCTTGGATATCTTTATCAAGCAGTCTTTCTCATTAAACATAAACACAATATCATACCTATGATACACTATACCACACTTAAAAAGGAAACTAGGAAAAATTTTAAATATTAAAATATCAAGGTCATTGTTCAAATTACTTTAACTCAGGTCATTCTAAGTGGTTCATAAAAGGCTTATCATGATCTAGAGAATGGGGGGGGGGGTCTGAGCATTAGAAGAAATGGCAGGGGGGTTGTGTTGCAGGGAACAAAATGCTTGACTCCGGGTACAAGGATTTATGAGGAAATGAACTAATGTCTTGGTTAGGAACAGGATAGCAACAAAAAACAATGACAGGATAGGAACAAAAGAGGAAGCTATAAAGAGACTGATTTTGGCTCAGAAAACAAAGTTCTGTGATCTCCAGTTCTACCCTTGCAGTATAAAATTTGTTGCATCACACCGGATACCCGTCTCATGGTGCCATGTGGAAGTGCGTGCCTTGCTTCTCTTAGTTCATCACCACTCCTCGTCTCACTTCCTTCCCTGTGTAGGACACATTTTTCAGCCTTGCTCAATCTTTAGGCCTCACTTGGGTTGACCAGTGCACCCATCCCCAATTTTGAATGAATCCTGCCTCTTGGCTTCAGATAAAAAACAAGACTACATGCCTTGCAACTGGAACCACAACACGTATGCTATGGCCTGCAACCTCAGTTTAGGCAAACCTTTGTATTTGATTTTAGTGAAGTACATAAGTGTTTTCTCAACTCATGGCAGCAATAAAGCCCTCAGACTACTCTCATTCATTCAGACAATTATTTTATAAAGCTTTATGAAGCCAGGCACAGAACTGAACAAGACTGGCACAACTGTAGCCCTTGTGGAGGTTTCAGCACAGTATTTAACAACAACAACAAAAAGATTTAAATAAAGAAGATAATTTCCATGTGAGATCAAAGCTATGAAGAAAAGGATGAGGTATGAGGGGCTCCTTCATATGAGGTGACATTTGAGTTGAATCCTGAATAATGAGAAGGTGCCTACCATTTGAAGATCTGTATTTAGAGTTTCAATATCATAGAAGTTCCACACACTCCTGCTACCACAATGACCCACCAATATCTCTGCCCAGATATCCTGCCTTCTAGCCTGGACTATAAGTTGATTGCTTCTAGGCTTGCACTAAGGCTAACCCTCCACTGGTGAATTAGGTACCATGCCCTTTTATCTACTCAAAGGGAAGTCCTCCAGCATGACTTTCTTCTTTCTCCTGAATCATCAAGTTTTCCTTCTCTACTAGATTATTCCCATCTGCACATAGCCATGCTATTTCTCTCATTTTAAAAATCAATGATCCTTAGCCCATTTGCCTTAGTGGATAGAGCATCGGCCTTCGACTAAAGGAGGTCATGAGTTCAATTCCAGTCCAGGGTAGGTACCTCTATTGTAATCTCCACTACTGGCCCTGGTCAGGGTGTGCATGAGGCAACCAATCAATGTATCTCTCTCACATCAATGTTTCTCTCTGTGTGTCTCTCCCCCTCTCTTCCACTCTCTCTAAAACACCAATGGAAAAATATCCTCAAGTGAGGATTAACAGAAACAACAACAGCAAAAGCCAATGAACATACCCTGCCTGATGTGGCTCAGTTGGTTGGGTGTTGTCCCATGCACCAAAGTTTGCCTTGTTTTGATTCCCAGTCAGGGCATTTGACCAGGTTGTGAGCTTGATCCCCAGTAGGGGTTGTGCAGGAGTCAGGCAATTGATGTTTCACTCTCACGTCAACATTTTTTTTCTTTCTCTCTCCCTTCTTCTCTCTCTAAAAATCAATTAAAAACAAACAAACCAGCCCTAGCCAGTTTGGCTCAGTGGAGATAGTATCAGCCTGCAGACTAAAGGGTCCTGGGTTCAATTCCAATCAAGAGCACATGCCCGGGTTGTGGGCTCCATCCTCAGATGGAGGCGTGCAAGAGGCAGCCAATCAATGGTTCTCTTTCATCATTGATGTTTCTATCTCTTTCTTCCTCTCCCCTCTTCTCTGAAATAAATAATAATAATAAAACAACCACAAAAACAAACAAACAGTCAACATGGAATACTCAATAGTGAAAGACTGAAAACTTTCCATCTAAGATCAGAGGTGAGAGATGGCTCCATATTTAAGTGTTTCTCAAACTCTCTGCGGCATGGGACCAAGTTTTTGTTTTAAAGTTCCAATCCATTGCAGATGATAATTTGTCAAATATAATAGAAATATTGCTGCAGTGTGAAATTTTATAAAGTTTATATTACTTATTCTTTTTAAAATATATATATATATTTTATTGATTTTTTTACAGAGAGGAAGGGAGAGGGATAGAGAGCTAGAAATGTTGATGAGAGAGAAACATCGACCAGCTGCCTCTTGCACAACCCCCACTGGGGATGTGCCCGCAACCAAGGTACATGCCCTTGACCAGAATCCAACCTGGGACCTTTCAGTCCACAGACCGACACTCTACCACTGAGCCAAACCAGTTTTGGCTTATATTACTTATTCTTGACTTTTTTTTTTACTTATCTCTCACAGTGCAGTAATAAATAATTTGCAAACTGGCCTTGCTTTGGACCACATTTTGAGTAGCATTGCTTTAGAAGGCCCTACATGATCTGGCCCTGCTACTCTTCAATCTCTTACCATTCTCCCCACCACCTTTGCTTACCCTCCTTCAGCCACTCTGGCCTCCTTATAGTTTTGTTGAATATTTCAAAGACCTCATAATGTTTGTTTTTGCTTCACCCACCCCCACTCCCCCACCATATTCTCAAGCTCTCTTCCAATTCACTTGCGTATCTGTACAAATATCCTCTATCAGAGAGAAGCCTTCCCTAACAATCCTATATAACATATCAATACTCAACACTCTGTCTCCTTTCTCTTCGTAGCACTTGTCAAAGTCTGATATATGTTTATTATCTTCCTCTCACCCCCATCAGCCAACTAGAATCTGAACTCCGTACAAACAAGAACTTGTGCTTTATTCCTGCAATAGTCACAGGGTTTAACCTAATGCCTGACACATATAAGCACTTGAATAAATGCTTAAGCCCTATCTAATCAGTTACAATTCCCAGGTATGGCCATGTAATTTCAGGTATCTTGAGCCTTCTAACATGCTGCCCGTGTTTGCTTGGGATGTCCTTCCTGAAAAAATGGCAGGCACCTCTCAGACCCACATGAAATGTCTTGCCTTCTGTACAGCCTTCCGGAGGACCACACCTTCCCTCAAAGAGTTGATTCTTCCCACTCATTGAATCACAACTACCTTCTGTGTATGTCTCCTTTACTGGACTGAGAGTTCCCCAAGGGCAAGGATGCTTCTGATGTATGTTTGTTACACCAGGCTCCCAGCACAGGGCCTGGGGTGAAACAGGGGCTCTGTCACTGTTTGGTGAAGAGCTATTCAATGTAAAGTACCGCTTAACATAGTTAATTCTCTGATACTAGAAATGTCCCAACAGGCTGGATAAAGTCCCCGTTAGGACACTCCAGTTTTCCTGACTGAGGTTGGCAGTTTACTTAGCTGTTTCGAGGATTCTTTGAGTTTGTGGTCGAGTGACCCACGAAACGCTCCCATCAATGTTAATTTTCATTCTCCATTCCTATCAGTGTGGTTCTGGACACAAGTGAGGCAGGCTGGGGGGCTGTGCTTGAATGCCTCCTCCCACCCTGTGGGGCAGGTATCTACTCTCCTAGAGTTCATGAACGAACAACGAAGTCTTAGAAAGAACAGCACCTCTTGGTTGATGTCCTGGGTCTCAGATAATGTGGATCAGGGGCACACCTTGTTAATTGCCTTGTGATGGATCTAAGAAGCTGTGAAGGTCTAAGATGTTACTCTGTTTGCAAATCAAAGAGCCAGCCTGAAACAGTTATTACAGTACACACCCCGAATGCTGACACAATCACAAAACTTCTCTTGCATCACTTCCCTATCTCCAAATTCCTCATCAGAGGACACAGTGGAAGAGAAATCTTAAAATTATGAAACTCAGAGTTTATGTAGACCGCTGGCATAGCTGTAACTCCTCTCTCAGAGACACAGAGAAAGAGAGAGTGAGAAAAAGAGAAAGCAAATGGCTCTGGGTTTTAACGCTTTTGTAAGGGACTAGCTGGCTCATGGAAAATGCACAGGGATGAATGCGTCTTCCTGGTTATATTTACTATCCCAACACCCTTTAGCACAGGCTCCAGTATTCTGCGCAGAAAGCCCAGATTGCACAGAAACTCCTTATTTCTTCTACACAGCCCGGGACAGGCAACGCTTCCCTGCCCCTCTGGCGCCGAAGCCTTTACTTAGGTGTGGTTTCTGAGGAGTTGGGATAAAGAAAGTCTCAGTATAATGGATTCCCCATCCAGCCCTGTGCCCAACACATAGCAGACACGCAGCAGACACCTGTTCAGTGAATGACAAGGACCATTGTTTAAGATTTTAATGAATGGGGGGGGGGGGGTGCAGAGAGGTGGTTGGTTGAGAGGTCCCGTCTGGAACCAGGGCCATCTGAGCCAATCCCTTCTTCTCTCCTGAGCCTTAGGCCAAGGACCTGGCCCCTTGCAGCAGCACCAGAGTTCCTGACACCCACAGGGTCTGAATCAGACGCTCACAGGCTGTGACCACACCAGAGTTCCTCGGGTCCTGAAAGGGATTCCCGGCCAGTGCCAGTTCCCTCACCTTGGGCAGCTCATCCGGCCGCGGCTCTCGGTTCAGCTGGTTGTTGCTGAGGTCCAGCGCGCCGAGCTCGGCCGGCAGTCCTGCGGGCACCTGCTCCAGGCCCCCGGAGGACAGGTTAAGAGAGCTCAGCGCGCTGGGCCAGACGCACGGGGGCGCGCCGGGCGCGGCGGTGGCGCGCAGCGCGTTGTGGCTGAGGTCCAGGTGCTGCGGCCGCACCGCCGCCGCCGCCAGCGCCGCGCACACGCCGCCGGGGGTCTGCACCCCGGTGCTGCGGAGCGCGAGCTCCCGGAGGGCCGGGAACTTGTCCCGACAGAGCGCCGCGGCCAGCCCGCGCTCGTCCAGCTCGGGATTGTCAGACAGGTCCAGGGTGGTGAGGGAGGGGAAGGCGCGGAGGTCGGCGCAGGGAAAGGCGAGCGAGTGTGCCCGCGCAATGGTCAGCGCTTTGAGGCCCGGCTTGAGCCACAGCTGCAGCTCGGCCAGCCAGGCGCCCCCCGCCGCCCAGGACACGTTCCGGAGACGGAGGGTGGAGAGCGCAGGGCCGGTGGCCTCCGGAGGCGGCGGCGGCGTCGGGCCGATCACTTCCAAGTCCTCGAGGGCCAGATGGTTGAGGCGGGAGGAGCCGAGCCCACGCAGGAGGGCGAAGAGAAGCAGAGCGGGCACCTGGGCATCGCCCACCGTGAGCCGCCGCAGACGCAGAGCCCTGACCACGTCCGCGTACTGCTTCGGGTCGGTGTCGGCGAACTTGACGAAGTTCTTCAGGCTGCGGCCGCCGCCGCGGATCTCCACCTCCACGGCGCTCACACACTGGTAGGCGCTGGACCACTCGGGCTCCGGGTCCGTGAAGTTGCAGGCGCAGCGGAAATCGTCGTCGTCCACCTCGCAGGGCTCCGGCGTGGTCGCCCAGACGTGAAGCAGCGGCGGCAGCAGCAGCAGCAGCAGCAGCCGCATCTGGGAAGAGCGGAGGTCAAGCGGCCTCCCAGTAGCCCCCGTTCGGCCCCAAGACCCGGCACTCACCATGGTCGATGGGTCCTCAGAGCCTCGGCGAGCGGTCCTCAGGGCTCTGGGAAGGGCTCTGGCTTCTTTCCTGTAGGGAGGGCAGCACTCGCTGGCTCCCAGACTCCACCCGCCCGTTGGCAGCCCCTGAGAGTTTTGTGTTCCCTCCTCCTCCGTGAACCCTGGTCACTCCCCACCTCCCTTCACGGCTGTATTCATTAACCTCGGAAATTTTGCAACTAAGGATGTTGCTGGGAGGAGGCGCGTAACAGGAAGGATCCCGCAGGACCTCGAGTATGCTCTGCCCCGGGGCAGTCTTGATGACTCAGGAGCCCCAGGCTTGTCTGGAGGGTTTGGAGAAAGGAAGATCCCCAGTGCTTCCCACCCTTTAAAAAACAAACAAATAAACAAACAAACATATATATGTATTTCAGAGAGGAAGAGAAGGAAACATCAGTGATGAAAGAGGATCCATTGATCAACCGCCTCCTGAATGTCTGTGGATCAAGGCTGAAGCCCGGGGGTACGCACTGAGGGGGAATCCAGCCCTGACGTCCTAGTTCATAGGTGGATGCTCAACCACTGAGCCTGGCTGGCCCAGCCCGCCAGGACTCTCGCCTCCCCTGCCTATATCCCACGACTCAATATGGGTAGTTTCCTTGACTTTTCCCTAGTCTTGGTGGTTACTGTTAACCTCCTGTCGTCCAAGTCCAATCCCCTGATTATCATTGGATATTTAGCTGGATATTTTGTGGAAGAGACTGCAAACTTCAACTATTGACTGAAAGGCTGGAAAAGAAATTCAAGAGAAGGTAGTTTATCTGAAGAACAACTATCCTTCCTTAAAGTTATAGCTTTTGCCCCGGCTAGTGTGGCCCAGTTGGTTGAGTGTTGTCCCCAGTTTGATTCCTGGTCAGGGTACATACCCAGGTTGCGGGTTCGGTCCCTGGTTGTTTCTTTCTAGTCACTCCCCACCTCTCCTATATAAAAAAAGGCTCATATGCAAATTGTCCCCTCTACCAGGAGTTCAACCAGGGGGCAGGGCCTGCCCCTCAACAGCCTACACCCCTTCCCCCTGACCAGCCCCGCTCCCAATAGGTACTCCCCACCCCAATGGGGGTGGCTAGACCCCACCCATGCACAAATTTGTGCACTAGGCCTCTAGTAATAAATAATACAATTCTAGGTTTTAAGCTCTGGCTGAGTAGTTCAGTTAAAACATCATCTGGATGAGCCAAGGTTCCAGGAGATAGGGCAATAAAAGAATCAACCAATGAAGGCATAAATCAGTGGAACAACAAATCAATGCTTCTCTCTCTCAAATAAATGTGTTTTTTTTTTAATTGAAAGTAATAGCTTTCCTAAGTAGAGTGTTTAATAGAAACACATTAGCCAAGCCACTTGTACTTTTATAGTTTTCACTCCCCCATCCTGCAATTGATAAACTAGATATTTATAACACAACTAGAGGCCAGATGCATGAAATTTATGAACGTGGGGGTGGGGGTGGGGACCCTCGGCTCGGCCTGCACTCTCTCCCAATCCAGGATCCCTTAGGGGATGTCCACCTGCCTGCCTGATCCCCCTAACCGCCTCTGCCTGCCTGTCTGCCTGATGGTCCCTAATCCCTCTGCCTGCCTGATGCCTCTAACTGCTCGCCTGCCTGCCTAATCATTCCTAACCACTCGCCTGCCTGCCTCACCACCCCTAACTGCTTCTGATTGCCTGCCTCATCGCCCCTGACTGCTTGGTTGCTTGCCTGATCACCCCTAAGTGCCTCTGCCTTGGCCTCTACTTCTGTGGCTTCATCCAGAAGAACGTCCGGAATGATGTCCAGAAGGTTGATTGGCTGTCCGATCTAATTAGCATATTATACTTATATTATTATAGATTTCCCCACTTTCACATGGTTCTCCCTTACCTTCCCCCCAAACAATTCCTATATCCTAGGAAGGAAAGGATGGACAAATTTTAAGTGAGGATTAATTAGTAATTCACTTGTTTTGACAAGAAAAAGAAAAAGTATCCCAAGGGTGTGGTAGGGTTTATTCTTTGACAAGAGAAAAATTCTGAAATGTTCTAAGGGCCCTTTCTTTTACCTCTATAACTTGTTTCCGAAGCCCATTTCTTCTATAGATTACTTTTACCTCTGTGATTTCCTAAATGAATGTTCTCTTATAGTTTGAGTCTTGGCTCTGAATTCTTTCCTAACCAGAACTCAAGTACCAAGGTTGCTGAACCTAGGTCCAGTCTGACCCCACCGGCCTAACGCCCGGTGTTTTTCTCGCTGCCCCCAAGATGTTAATGTAGCTCAGTGTTAAATGCACTAACCCTGCAGGGTCCAGACCCTGCTCAGACAGTCAGGCATGGAATCCCAGACCCACGGAGTTTGTCAGACTTGGGCAAGTTTCTGGACCTCAGATTTCTGAACTTCTGCTATTTTTTGTTTTCATTGCTTTTTAGAGAGAATGGAAGGGAGGGAGGAAAGTAAGAGAGAGAGAGAGAAAAAAAATATCATTGTGAGAGAGATACATTGACTGGTTGCCTCCCACATGTGCCCCAACTGGACAGGATAGAACCCAGGTATATGCCCTTGACCGGGAATTGAACCCTCACAACTTTGCTCTAACTGTTGACCCACACCAGCCAGGGCAAGGAACTCAACAATGTTGCCCCAGCTGATTTGGCTCAATGGATAGAACATCCACCTCTGGGCTGAAGGGTCCTGGGTTCGATTCCAGTCAAGTGCACATGCCTCCATCCCCAGTAGGGGGTGTTCAAGAGGCAGCCAATCAATGATTCGCTCTCATCATTGATGTTTCTATTTCTTTCTCCCTCTTCCTTCCTCTTTGAAATCAATAAAAATATTTTAAATCTATATTTTATTGATTTTTTACAGAGAGGAAGAGAGAGCAAGAGGAGAGTTAGAAACATTGATTAGCTGCCTCCTGCACACCCCCCACTGGGGATGTGCCCACAACCAAGGTACATGCCCTTGACCAGAATCAAACCTGGGACCTTTTAGTCTGCAAGCTGATGCTCTATCCACTGAGCCAAACCGATTTCGGCAATAGATTTTTTAAAAATAATAATAATAAAACTCACCAATGTTGGGCTCAGCTGGTGTGGCTCAGTGGTTGAGTGTGGAACCATACACCAAGAGGTCACTGTTGTTTTTTTTAAAATATATTTTATTGATTTTTTACAGAGAGGAAGGGAGAGAGATAGAGAACCAGAAACGTCAATGAAAGAGAAACATCGACCAGTCGCCTCCTGCACACCCCCACCAAGAATGTGCCCGCAGCCAACGTACATGCCCTTGACCGGAATTGAACCCGACCGACGCTCTACCACTGAGCCAAATTGGTTTCGGCAAGGTCACTGGTTTGATTCCGGGTCCGGGCACATGCTCCAGTTGCCACTCGATCGTCAGTAGGGGGCGTGCAGGAGGCTTCAGATGGATGTTAATTGATGATGATTGTCTCTCATGTTTCTATTTCTCCCTCTCCTTTGCTCTCTCTTTCTAAATTAAATTTAAAAATTTAAAAACTCACCAGTGTTGCCAAAACCGGTTTGGCTCAGTGGTAGAGCGTTGGCCTGCGGACTGAAGGGTCCTGGGTTCAATTCCGGTCAGGGGCATGTGCGTTGGTTGTGGGCACATCCCCGGTAGGGTGTGTGCAGGAGGCAGCTGGTTGATGTTTCTCTGTCATTGACGTTTCTAGCTCTCTACCTCTCTCCCTTTCTCTCTGTAAAAAATCAATAAAATATATTTTAAAAAAAACCTCACCAGTGTTTCCCCAGTACCTAGTCAATCAGTGGCGCTCAAAACGGTTAATTACTTTATTCTAAAAATAATGCGACTCACTTTTTAAAATTTTCCTTTATTGATTAAGGTATTACATATGTGTCCTCATCCCTCCATTAACCTCCCAACCCCCTACCTCCACTTAAACCCTCACCCCCCAATGCGACTCACTTTTGTGCAGACCAGTGAAATAATTATATTTGTCTCATTTTCCTCAGTGTAAAATGGGTATAATTGTTACCGCGAACATTCAATATGGCAACGCATGGCCACTCATCTACAGGAAGGGTGCTGATGGAGGTAGGGTGGATGGGGGTACAGATAACATCTCACCACTAAGACAATGAATATTTGGTGAAATGGTATCCATATCTTCCTGGAGCTGGGGTTAGTTTTGAATGTTCCTGGGTGTGTTAGGAATGGGGAAGTTTGCTTACTGGCCTGGGGTGGCAGAGGTCAGGATTGAGTTACTTTATTTTTTAAAAACAAATTTATCATTCTTATGTTTGGAAGATCAAATAGGGAAGGTGCTGGAGACCGGGATGTCAGGACACAGGCTTTATTGAAGAGAAGAGTACCACTGACAACTGCTTCCAGAGAGAGCAGAAGGCAGCGAGGGTCCATGCCCTTTTTAAGGGGAGGATAGGGGACGAGGCTTAGGGCACTCAGCACACGTTGATTGGTGGTTTCATGTAAGGCCTATGATTAGGGACCTAGGGACTTAGAAATCAGGGACTTAGGGTATTTGGCAGGTGCTGATTGGTGGTTCAGTGCTCAGGAATGTCTGGCCGCAGGTGGGGTTTACTTCTGTCCATCAACTGGAGGAAGAGAGGATCTTTCAATATTATTTTTTAAAGTACATTTTTATTGATTTCAGAGAGGGAGGGAGAGGGAGAGATAGAAACATCAATGATGAGTGAGAATAAAATTGATTGGCTCCTGCACGCCTCTCACTGGGGATATGAACCCGCAACCTGGGCATGTGCCCTTGGCAGGAATTGAACCTGCGGGCGAAGCTCTAGCCACTGAGTCAAACCAGCTAGGGCTTTTCTTTCTTTCCTAGAACTGGGGAGAAAACAAGGCTGTGCTGCTTTCACTGGGCTCTCAGCCCAGATCCCTCCCTCTGCCTTTGCCCGCCCCGTCCCGCCCTCCCCTTAGCCCCGCCTCCTCTCCACTGACCCCGCCCCGCCCCTCGCCCCGCCTCCCCTCCTCTGACCCCGCCCACCCATCGCCCCGCCCCAGCCGCTCCTCCCCTCGGCCCCGCCTTTCCTCCGGGCCGAGCTCTCCGGCCTCCCCTCTCCTTCCGCCAGCGCCGCGGCTGCGCGGTCCCTGCCATCTTCTGAGCTTGGGGACTGCGTTCCCGTCCCCAGTCTGCCGTCCAGTGGGGCTTTCCTCCAGCTCCACACCATGCTGAGTCCACGGCAAGGCCTTCTCAGGCCGGTGGGATGCGGGGTGGAGGAGCTGCGGCGCCGCCGGCGGGAGCGGGAGGCAGGTGCGGGCGGGAGGGAACACGGGAAGGTGGGGGGATGGCGGTGGGAGGCCCCTGGGAGGAGTTGGGGTTCTGGGTCCTGGGTGCCCCTCCGTTGCCCCCAGCCGACTCCTTTGTCCCCAGCACTGCGGCGGGCCCGGAGGGAGCAGCAGCTGGTCAGCAAGAGGCTGCTGAGAGACGACACCCCAGAGGAAGCCGAAGGGGGATGTGTGGCCTCCATCCTCGGGGAAGCCGAGGTGAGGGGGTCAGGGTGCGCGGTGAGGTCCATGCAAGCTGGCGCCAAATTCCTTCCTCGAGGACTCGGGGACGTCCCCAAACCTGAATGCGGTCCCTTCAAAACCTCCAGTGGGCCAAGCCAGAAACGGGTGTCAACCTCCACCCCCATCCCTACTCATCCCCACATCAGTACTTCAAGATCTAGCGTTTTTTTTTTACCTGTAAAGAACTCTGAAGTTTTGCGTGTTTTTAAAATCCTCACCCGAGGATATTTTTTCATTGATTTTGTTTGTTTTAGAGGGAGAGGGAAAGACAGAGAGAAACATCGATGTGTCACATCACTAGAGAGACACATCGCTTGGTTGCCTCTTGTATGCACCCTGTCCAGGCCAGGGATCGTCCAAGGCCAAGTACGTGCCCTCGGAGTGGCACCGGACCCTTTAGTCCTTCGGCAGAGGCTCTATCCACTGAGCCAAACCCCTTAGCGCAAGAACTCTGAAGGTTTTACATGCCTCCTCATCGCAGCTCTCCAGCACCCTCCAGTGGATGCTTACTGCAACCTCGGAACAGGTCATCTTTATCTATGCTTGCCACCCTCAAGTTCATTCTTCATACATCAGTCAGATGCCTTTTTAAAAAATAGACCAAACTCCTTTCTGTGACCCATTAAAGTTCAGCCTAGTCTAACCTCTCCCAACCCCAACCTTATCAACTTACTCATCTCAGCCAAACTGCCCCCTTTTCAGTTTTTGGAACAATATACCAGGCTCTTTCCTGTCACAAGGCCCTTGCCTTTGCTGCATCTCAAATGTGTCCCTTTTGGTATTTTGTCTTAACCTGTTTACAGAATATTAATTATCCTGTCCTAATTTGTTTATTATCACTTCTCCATCTAATTTTTTAAGTCCACAGGAACATAGACTCTTAATCTGTCATCATTGAAAACTCAGATGCCTGCACAATATTTGGCATATAGGAGATGCTCAGTATATATTAAGTGAATGAAAGCATTGGTTTTAGTTCATTTATTCTATTCAATAAGCATTGGGCATCCCCTGTTTGTATTATCATTTTGTTTGTTTGTTTTAAAATATATTTTTATTGGTTCCAGAGAGGAAGAGAGAGGGAGAGAGAGATGAAAACATCAATGATGAGAGAGAATCATCAATAGGCTCACAACCTAGGCATATGCCCCTACCGGGAATTGAACGTGACCTCCTGGTTCATAGGTCAACACTCAACCACTGTGTCACGCTGGCAGGGCTGTATTATCTATGTTTACATGTATAATTTACAAAGCACTTACACCGGGGTTATACCATTTATTCATTGTGTACTTACTTTATGCCAAGAGCTGTGCTGGGTCCTGAGGTACGCAAGAGGAAAAGAGAGTCCCTTTCTTTGAAGTGTTCACAGTCCATGAAAGAGACATGAGGCGCAATAGAAACCCCTGTCTCCGTAGGTCTGCCACGGGAAGCCAGAAAAGGCTAAGTCTCCATAGGCAGCGACAAGAGCAGAAATCTGAAAGAAGTGGAAGACCTGGGGAGGGTATGCCAGGCAGAAGAAATAGATTATGCAAAATCTTTTTTTAAATTATCTGTGTACATATTTTAACATTGCCCCGCCCCCCCCACACACATACCCTCCCTCCCCAGAGTTTTGTGTCCATTGGTTGTACTTATATGCATGTATACAAGTCCTTCGATTGATCTCTTATCTCCCCCAGATGCCAAATCTTTTTTTTTTTTTTTTTGCTAGTAAATATATTTTTATTTTTAGAGAAGGGAAAGGAAGAGACAAAAAGAAACATCAATGATGAGAGAGAATCATTGATCGGCTGCCTTCTGCACTCATGCAGTTCGGGATCAAGCTCGCAACTCAGGCATGTGCCCTGACCAGGAATTGAACCATGACCTCCTGGTTCATAAGTCAATGCTCAACCACTGAGCTACATTGGCTGGGTTGATAGTACAAAATCTTGGCAGCACTAAAAAGTCATGTTATATTAGGTGTTAGGGTATAGGCTGCATGGGGAGCATGACGAAGCATAGATTATGCCAGGCTGAGAGATTTAAATATTATCTTTGAAACAACCCTGTAAGAAAACAAGATAGAAGTTACTCCTATTTTTTCCAGGTGAGAAACTGATGTTTAGGTCCTTTATAGAGTAAGTGGCTGGGCTGATTCCCTCTTCTTTCCACTCTACTGCACTGTTGGCACTTATTAGCCATATTAGCGTGAATGACAAGTTCTAGGGATGGTGCAATATTGGAAGGCTCACAGGTGAAGTTAGGCGGAGCAGGTCTTGATTTGCTTTCTGACAACTGTGTGTTGCCATTTCTCCCTGCCCTGGGCTCTAGATCCAGCAGTTCCTGTGGTTAGCCCAGCGGGGAACAGAGGAAAAGGAGAGAGAAGGAGCTCTGGTCAGCCTTCGTCGAGGCTTGCAGTACCCAGAGACACAGCAGACCTTCATCAGGTCAGTGGGTGGCTGGGTTCTAAGGGATGGATAGGAGTGTGGAGGGGAGGGGCCGCAGGCTGAGCAGCGCTCTGGTACTCACTCGTGTAGGTTGGAGGGCAGCATGCGGACCCTGGTTGGGCTCCTGACCAGCAACCACGCCCTGTTGCAGCTTGAAGCGGCTCGGTGCCTTCATGAGCTCTCTCATTCCGAGCAGTCTGAGGTGGCTGAGGCCTGCCTGCCAGCCACGTCCTACCTTCTCACCTACCTCGCCGGTCACAGCTCAGACCTTATAGTAAGCCCTGACACTTCTACCTGGTTTTTGGTTTGTTTTAAAATTGTGTCTTTGGGTCCACTTTGAGCTGGCAGGTGGGGAGAGGAAAACCTGTTTCCCCTGATGCCCACAGCCCTGTACACACACCCTCCAGTACCCAGAGCCTCCAGAACAGGGTGCTCCATCTTCCCCATCCCCACCTCCACCCTGGCTTGCATGGGCCACGCCCAGTGCTTTTGTCCTGTTCTCAGGAGCTCTGTCTGTATACACTGGGTAACCTGATTGTGGAGAGTGAAGCTGGGAGAAGGCAGCTCCTGCCACAGGGCATTGTTCCAGCCTTGGCTTCCTGCATCCAGGTGAGCATCCACCTGACTTTCCTGAACAGCCCTCCCCTTATCTCTTTCCACATGCCCCAGCTGCTTTGGTTAGGCAGTTCCAGCCATTGCCATAGGCTAAGGGGTTGGAAATCTTCCGGCCTAGTTTCCAGAGCCAGATCCCTACCCTGTCTCCTTCCAGTCCCCCCATCTGCCTGTGCTTGAAGCCCTTGGATATGCCTTGTCCCAGCTCCTGCAGGCTAAGGAAGCGCCAAAGATCATCATCCCGTAAGTAGTACAGTCTCCAGATGTGCCACCAGGAGTGACCCACGTGGTAGTGTAGCCCCCAAGACCTGGTTTCATTGCTGTTGTACATTTAATCCCATGTGGCTGGCTGGGAAGGGCTTTGGGTTGGGACACTTTTCCACCTACTATTAGGGTTTGGGAAGAGTGACAGCATCTTGCCTTCCGTGGTTTCTAATCAGAGCTCTGTTTCTGCCTGCAGTTCCGTCCTGGCCTCCTCTATTCCCCAGCATATGCTGCGACTATTGCAACCTGGACCAAAGCTGAACGCTGGGGTCGCTGTGGAGTTTGCCTGGTGCCTTCACTACATCATCTGCAGGTAACACAGGCCAGTTGGTAAAGTACCACAGGCCTTTCATGGGCTCCCTTCTTGCCACTCAGGTGTTTGAACTTTGGTTTCTGGAATTATTGTGGTGAAATTGCCCCCCTCAGTAATTCCATGAAAGGTCTTCCTTTCCTGGTCTTCTCTTCTTGTAACCCAGGAAACCCACAGACCTAGGCTGACTGCAAGCTTGAAGGTAGAAATGGCTTAGTAACTGCTTGCTTCTTATTGCCCAGCCAGGTCAATAATGCCCTGCTCATCACCCATGGGGCGGTCTCCACTCTGGGGCTGCTACTGCTGTACTTGGCGGGGTCTGTCCAGAGTTCTGAAGATGCAGGACTGGAGTTGGTAGGTGAAGAGGACAGGTCAAGATCGGCGCAACCTTTCCTCCTACTGTTCCTCTTCCAGTGTGCAGGGAGTCCCCTCCTCCTTATACCTGACCCCCACCTTGTCTTTGCAGCTGGTGTGCCCTGTGCTTCGGTGTCTAAGCAACTTGCTAACAGAGGAGGCGGTGGAAGCTGAGGGAGGGCAAGTGCAGCTCAGAGAGGAGCGTGTCGTGGTATCCGTATTTATCCTTCTGCAGTTCCTCCTCCAGAAACACCCCAGCCTGCTTCCTGAGGGCCTTTGGCTTCTTAATAACCTCACTGGTAAGAGCCATAATCTTGCATAGGCTGGACCTTTAGAAACTGGGAAAATGTCCTTGTTTTGGACTGAGGTGGGTAGGATTGAGAGGGGGCATTTTCAGGTTGCAGTTCAGGGGACTTCACCCTGACATTTTTCCTTCTAGCAAACAGCCCTAGCATCTGTACCTCCTTGCTCTCCCTGGATCTGATCAAGCCTCTCTTGCAGTTGTTGCCAGTATCTAATGTGGTGAGCGTATTGGTAGGTACTGGGAGTCATCTGAGCTCAAGGTCTAGTGGCTGAAGTATAAACAGTAGGAGCTCAGAAGGGCCCTTATCTGAGAGCTGGCAGGTGGTATAGTATGGATGGCCTCAGGGGTAGACCCATCTAGGTATGAATCCCCAAATTGGTTTACTAGATACTATTCTTGGGGAAAATCAACTCACCATCTTAAGCTTGTTTCCTGATTTATAATTAGGAATTCTGAGGGCAGTTTGATTAATGAACTTGCTTATAAAACTGCTTGGCACAGTGCCTTGGGCATGTGGTCAGCACTCTATATATTTTTTGGTCATTGGCTTTCATCCTTTGTGGGGACTGTGTATATACATCTCTCTCTACAGGTGCTCACCGTTCTGTGCAACGTTGCAGAGAAGGGTCCTGCTTATTGCTGGCATCTGTGGCCAGGGCCCCTGCTCTCCTCCTTGCTGGACACATTGGCCTTGTCTGACACTGAAGTAGTAGGCCAGAGTTTGGAGCTGCTGCAACTGCTGTTCCTCTACCGGCCAGAGGTTTGTTTCTGGTTCTGTTCTCAATCCTTGATCTGAAGCTTCTAGTCTCACCATGGCTCCTTTCCTTCCAGTTCTAACTATAGCCACTTCTCTGGACCTGGCTAGTCTGTGTCCAGGTCAGAGTCTGCATCCTTTTGCTGGGAATGTACCCTTTCCCAAGAAGAGGGGGCTAACCCCTAATGCTCTGGGAATTGAGTGTTAGGGCACAGAGACCCAGGTGCCGAATCCTTTTCTTCCCTGCCTTTAGGCTGCCCAGGCCTTCCTGCAGCAATCAGGGCTGCAGGCCCTTAAAAGGCACGAGGAGGAAGCACAGCTCCAGGACCGAGTGCTTGCTCTCCAGCAGACAGCTCTTCATAGATGACTGCTTCTCAGTGTCACTTTACTCCACCCCCACCCCCCAGCTCTGTACCCCATGGAGCCCCTTATGATGGTGGGAGGGTTAATGAGGCCTAATGTTCTGATCCACATCGGAGCCTAAACCAAGACCTTTAGACTCCAGCCCTTCCTTCCTTTCTTCTTTTTTTTTTTTTAAATATATTTTATTGATTTTGTACAGAGAGGAAGGAAGAAAGATAGAGAGTTAGAAACATCGATGACAGTCATTGATCAGCTGCCTCTTGCACACCCCCTACTGGGGATGTGCCTGCAACCAAGGTACATGCCCTTGACCGGGATCGAACCCGGGACCCTTCAGTCCCCAAGCCGACGCTCTATCCATTGAGCCAAACCGGTTTCGGCCCCAGCCCTTCCTTTCACTCAGCACTGACCATATAGGATTAGAGGGAAGTGGCTGTGGTCTACTTACTCTGGGGCCCTGAAATCTCTCTTTTTTGTTTTGTTTTGCTTTAGCATCTGGTAGCTTTTGATGGGGCAGAATAAAGTCTTATTTTTATATTAAATTGATTTGCCTCAGTGGTTGTATAATAAGTGGTAGAGGGTGGAATGAGGTAAAGAACATCCTGAGACGGTGTCTTACAGCACAAGCTTTATAAACAACAGAACACATTTTCCCACATTGTACTCAGTCCGGCAGAGCCCAGGCTGTGGGCTGTTGCTCTTAATCCTCAGCGAAGGCTTCAGGCTTTGCCACTTAGCACATTCTCTACGGCTCTGGTTACCTGATCAGCACTGAAGTTGTTCAAGGAGACATTCTTCTCTTGGCCGAATGCTGGAGAGAAAGAGAGGTGACTAAGTATCCACTCGCACTGTGGGGGCTAGCAGAGTATAACAACAGGTCTTTATCATCAACTTAAGGCGTTGTTATGATAGGAAGGGTAGTAAAAACATGACCAAGGTGGATTTGGTAGGCCTAGAATTACCCCCCCTAGGCCTCAAGCACATCTAGGAAGCCTAGGTCCAACTGGAATTTTGGCTGATTGTGGGTGGCCACAATAATAAGGAAGGTGTTTCAAGGAAATGTAAGGGCACAGCAGGCATTTATTAACCATGTGAGCAGTGCATTGCATGGGTCTAATCTTGACAGGATACCCATTCTGTGGTTCCCATAGACCTGTGGTTAGCAAACTGCAGCTCATGGACCACATGTGGTTCTTCCACAAAATACCACGGCCTGGGCGAGTCTATTTTGAAGAAGTGGTGTTAGAAGTTTAAGTTTTAAAAAATTTGGCTCTCAAAATAAATTTCAATCATTGTACTGTTGATATTTGACTGTTGACTAATGAGTTTGCCAACCACTGCCATAGACCATCTAGTATAATGCACTATAGCTATTTGAGTCCATCTCTTCTAGTCTACTGGTTTTTTGGAAGGAGAACCCTTTTTCTCCTTCAGTTTTTAGTGCCTGGCATTACTACACATGCCCACTGTTAGAACCAATCTGCCTTAGGTGTGACTTCCCTCTTTCTCCAGACATGTCTAGGGCAAGGTGTTAAAAACCAAGATTAGCCGGGTTGGAGTGGCTCTGTGGATGAGCATGGACCCATGAACCAAGAGGTTACAGGTCCATTCTCTGTCAGGACACATGCCCTGGTTTTGGGATCCATCCCTAATGTGGGTGTGCAGGATACAGCCAGTCAATGATTTTCTCTCGTCACTGATGTTTCTATTCCTCTCTGCCTCTCCCTTCCTCTCTCTCAAATCAATAAAAAAAAATTTTTAATGATCAAAATACTAGTATTCAGTATGTATAAATATTGATTGCATGCCTACTAATTGTTAGGCAACATGAAAGTGATTTTCAGATTTATAGCAAATTGAAATAGTAATTGTTACAGATTAGTATGAAGCTAGGGAAAGACAGTTAAACAGTTGTTTGCAGCCACCTAGTAAATCCTATTTTCCCTAAACCAAGGATGCTTAATAGTATAGGGAGACAGATAACAGGAATCTAATTAAGTGCCATTGCCAACCACACAGACAAGAGAATAAATCTCATTTTGGTACATCATAAAGCTAATGAACATTCCATTGATCTCCTGTAAGACCTGCCCTAAACACCCAGCCTTTGAAATGCCTGAAAGCCCAGCAGGTGTGGCTCAGTGATTGAGCCTCAATCTATGAACCAGGAGGTTATGGTTCAATTCCCGGTCAGGGCATATGCCAGGGCTGTAGGCTAAATCCCCAATATGGGGTGTGCAGGAGATGATTCTCTCTCATCATTGATGTTTCTCCCTCTTCCTTCCTCTCTGAAATCAATAAAAATATATTTGAAAATATATATTATAAAGTAAAATGCCTGAAAAGGACCCTGGCCAGTTAAGTGGTTAGATAGGGGCCATGTTACATAACTGGTCTGGGAATGCCTTTTTGAAGAGATATATAAACTCAGAACTGAACATAACCACCTGAATAAGGAGCCAGCCATGGCTATCTGGCAGAAGTGCATTCTAGGAACAACCCTATTATATCCAGCTACATAACCCTCACATAACGAAGATTAAATGAGATTTAGGTAGGAAAGCACCCAGCACAGAGCCTAGCATTAAGTTTCAGCACAGAATCATGATTTTAGGTTTTCATTATTGAGGTTCTGACACTCCTGGCACTGCCCACACTTAAGTTGGAAGAACCTACATTGACCAGAATAGATCAGCACCTCTTCTTGCCCTGTCCGAAACCTCTCCTGGATCACAAAAATGACAGCTCCTGTTCCCTAAGCAGGACGGGGCCCGCCTCCACACGGCCGTTACCCAGGACACGAAGCATCCGCTAATCGTACCAACGTAAAGTTCCTTATCGGCAATAAGGTCAAAAGCAAGGACTTTGGCCGGTCCCGGTCTTTTCACAAATTTTTGTTAGGCCGTGGCGGCGGTTTCTCTTCTCGAACCCTTGTTTCCCCACCGGGGTCCCGACCCCCCGAGCCCGGCACTCACCGTAGCGGGCCCAGAGCTTGGGCTGCACCTCGGAGCACTCGCGGATTAGGATGGGCAGGTCAGGGTTCGACTTCTTCAGCTCCACGTAGCGTTTCTCGATGAATTCCCTGCGGGGCCCGAGAAAGCGCCGCGCGGACGGTGTGGGCGCGGGCCTTCCCAAACGCCCGGGAGGTCGAGGTCGAGGTCGAGGTCGTGACCCCGGCGCCCCGAAGTCCGCCCGCCCGCCCACCACGCTGCGCCTCACCTGACGCCCTGGCTGCCAGGCGAGCGCTGGCATAAGTGGATGCGAATCTCCCGGAGACCCAGGTTGGCGCCTCGACTCGCCGCCGCCGCCGCCATCTCCGCGCGGACCCAGGACCCGGCACACGCCTCCCGGCCAAGCTCTCCAGACCGACCAATCGCGGACCCTCCAGTCTCGCGATAGCTGGGCTGACGTAAGGGGGCGGGGCCACGTCGAGCTACGGCTACGAAAGTTTTGTAGGGCGCCCGGGTGTCCTCCAGTTTCCGGGCGAGAGTGTGAGGCGCAAGGCACTGTGGGTTGTTTCCGGAGGTATTTCCGAGGAGGAACCTGTCGCGATTCTGTTGTTGTGGGAGACTGGGCGCTTCGTGGCGTCGCGACCGCGGACGAAATGCCGGAGCGGGACAGTAAGTGTCGGGTTATCCGCCCTTTTTTTCTCGGAGGAACTCGGGATGCTCGGCGCGTTATTTTGGCTTTAAACAGGGTGTGTGTGTGTGTGTGTGTGTGTGGGTGGGTGGGTAGAGAAGGGCCGGAGTGACGCCTGGAGCCTGGCGAAGCCGTGGGACCCCGAGTGATGCTGGGCAGCCCCTCACTGTCTCGGCTTTGCTCCAAGTGACGGCAGATAGAGCTGATCTGTGAACTTTACCCCCCTCTCCCCAGCCCGGCATCACTTAATTTGGGTTGATCCAACTTGTCTCTCTCGTGGTATCTTAGATGTTATCCCGTGGAAGACTTTGCTGATCTTCCAGCGCTGGTTTAGGGCCCCTCTCCTCTGGGCTCCTACAACTCTTTGTATTTTTTCCCACTTCATTACTTACTGCATTGCATTATTACTGTCGTTGTTCTTGCCCTCCTCACTAGATTGAGCAATTTGACAGGGAAGCAGATCTGTATTGTTCATTATTAAAAACCAACTTTTGCACAGAACATGACACAAAAGAGATGGATTAAATTTATGCTATTTCTTTTTCTTAGATGAGCCGTTCTCCAACCCTTTGGCCCCAGATGGCCACGATGTGGATGATCCTCACTCCTTCCACCAGTGAGTGTTTTGACCTAAGACCATGGGAATAAGTTGGACAATGAGTAGGGTGGAGGTGGAGGTGGTGATGACAATGGTCAAAGAATCCTAAGTGTCTTTTCAGGAAGGATGGTCAAAAAATTGTACCACTTGCCCCTTTAACGGGATCCCCGCAGGCCAGGTTGAGGGACCCCACTGGTGCTCGAATCCCTGTATCAGGCCTCTAGTATGCATATAAACTCTTTGGTTAATCTCTTCCTGTCATCCCCCTGTCTCCTTCCCTCTGAGATTCACCAGTCTATTCCCTGCTTCCCTGCTTGTGTGTTGAGCATCTGCTCCCTGGTGGTCATTGCTTGTCATAGCTGTCAGACAGTTGCTTAAGCTTTTATATATATAGATGCCAGTAATTGGCCATATATAGATGAACGAAATTGTTTGGTCATAGGATGTACACACTTAAATCTATAATAATAAAAATGTAATATGCAAATCAACCAAACAACTGAACAGCAGAACAACTGTCCAGACGACCATGCTATGACATGCACTGGTGCCAGGCCAGGAAAGGCAGGTGCAATGCAGGGGCCCTGCCATCATCCCATGATTGCCCTGCAGAGGGAGGCCCAGGCCACCCCCTATGGGGTGATAAATGGGAGTGGGGAGCTCTCTGCAATCAATCACCCTGCAGAGGGAGACCCAGGCCACCAGCTGGTGGGGTGATGGATCCCAGGGCAAAGAGTCGGCTCTGCTATTATAGAGCCCTATGATCG